GACATTGCGCCGAGAATAACGACCTTGACGGCGTCGAACCCGCGTGATGCCTGGATCGACGAGGCCGCCGCGACGAATTGCATGCAGAGGCGATGCAGGGTGAGCAGAATGTCCAGCTGCCCAGAGCGAGTCATCTGCGGATGCACTGCGTCTGGACCTTCTTTCTCGTGGGGGTGCATGCTACTCACCATCATTATCATCTTCCTCATCTTCCTCCTCCTCCTCATCCTCCTCCTCCTCCTCCAACTCCTCATCCTCATCCTCATCCTCATCCTCATCCTCATCCTCCTCCTCCCCTGTCCCCCTCCCTCTTCTTCTAAATACTATTATTATTCTTCACCCTCGCCCCCTCCTCCTCCTCCTCGGGTGATGGGACCTTCTGGCGCCCAGACAGGGTCGCGCAGGCTGAGGGGAGGGCGCTGCGTCAACGGCCCGAGCGGCACCGGGATCACCTCCATGAAGACGTGCTGCAACAGCGCAACGCAGAGGAAGGTGGAGAACTTGCAGCGCTCTTGCCCGATGAAGAACAGTTTCGCGCAGAGCTCCTCGCAAGTTCGCAACGTCTGGTGAGCCTCCTCAAAATCAGCCACGCGCGCTGGGATTTGCAGCAGGTTGATGGATTTTAGCAGCGGTACTCCAGTAGCCGCTCCCGGATTCACGTCGTGGCGCAGCAAGCGGTCCCAGAAGGGATGAAGCCCCCAGGCGCTCGCGGGCACATCGTCGTCGCCCTCGGTCTGCTCCAGGTTGAGAACTGGCTGCACCAGGGGATCGTTCCTACAAAAAGACAAAGCAGCATGAACGTAAACTTTCGGAGGTCCGCGCTGGACCCCCCTGGCGGCGCACCTGGCGCGCCCCGCGCGCCAAGGAAGGGGATCTGGCGCCGATCCGAGGAATCCGCGCGGACCTCCGCAAGCTGATGCTCGTGTTGTTTGTTCCTTCTTCGGAGATCCAGATCTGATTCGCACGTGGCTTTCCCTTCACCGCCACCTCGACCTTCTCGACCAGATCCTTCGCCATTATCATCAGCCTGCGGGCGGCGGACTGCTCCGCCAGGCGGCCACTCAGCTTGACCGCCGACAGCGCGAGCTGCTTCGTCGCGAGGCCCATCATGATGCGCTCAGAGGCGGAGAGGGCCTTCGCGGGCACGAGGTCTTTCGAGGCGAACTTGAGCATCTGGTGGCGGAACTGCCACTTCACCAGCTTCGCCTGGGCCCGAGGAGGCCGGTGCACCGCGCATCTCCCTTGCCGCCCCCTCCTGTTTCCATCCCCAGTCCCGCGGAACCTGCGAGGTGAATTTACTTCCAGCCAGCATAGAGTCTAGGAGTATGCGGGCAAACTCTGCGGCCATACTGCGCGCAAGCTCGTCGTTGGTGCCCCCGTGTCCTACAGCTCCCATTCCTCGGCAGCCTGATCCTTCCGGGTTTCGCCCAGGGCCGACCCAAGACACAATATATAAAAGTCTTGATGTGGGGCTGCGTCACATTGCAGGAGTGTTCGCCACTGGGGAGCCGTCGTGATGCCCAGTTTGGATCCAGCCACTGACGACTCGGCAGGACCATCGCTCCCATTAGACGGTGACAAAGAGGGCCGTCCCACCCAACTCTTTATCTGGGAGGCGCCAAACAAGAGGGCGCCGGCTGGGGAAATGCCATGGAGCTGGAATCACACACAAGGCTGGATTCCCATGCTGAACATCCAGGAGCCACGCGCTGGATGCACATGTGGAAGCCTTGTGTGCCTGGCCGTAGCAGGGCTGGGCGCTGGAAAGACATCTGGGCACATGCGTGTCCAGTTCTCGCCCAGTCCTGCCGCGTCAGGCGCTCTGTTGAGCCCCACCGCGCCACGTGATCCCAGCTTCCCGGTAGCCTTTGGCGGCTTCATCGCCCCTGCGTCGCACTCCCATCGCAGAAGTCCTCCCAACCAGCAAGAGCCCGACTCGAGCGGCTTGTGTCTTGTGCTCCCTTGCCCTGCCCTGTCTTACCCGAGAGTGTTAGTGTTGGGCAGCGCGTTGCAGCGCCTTGCCGCACACTGCTTCAAGATCCATTGCACAACTCAGGATTGTCTTATCACGTCTTGCCTCGTCCTGACCTGGACATTGTACTACGTTGTCTCGCCGTCACTTCACTCATCCTCGTTTGCCATGATTTGTTGCGTATTGCCCGATCTGTGCTATACGGCGATGTGTCTCTTAATGGATCGTGCCTCTTGTATGCTGCATGTTGCTTATCGTCCATCGTGCATTGTCGCGCCGCTCGTGCTGTACCGTCTGTTACATTGGTGGATGTTCAACAACGTGTGGTGTGTTGTCGGATAGTTTGCTTTAGCTAGCGTCATGTTTTTCCCTGCAGCAAGTGTTGATGCCATATCCTCGATGGGCCCTCATAGCGGTGCGATGGCGGGAAAAGGGGAAGCAGGTGACGGTGATGTCCGTTTCTCGGGTGGCGGTTCCGGCGGCCCTGGCTCAGGGCCCCTGCCACCCACGGAGACCAGATGCCTCCAGGGTAGTGGGTGGGTTGCTCTGAAACGGCCGAGCGCCTGAGCCCCAATGGCAACAAACGTCAGGAGGTTAAGGAGGATGCCCTTACGCGTTGGTACATGGAGGCGTCTCCTCGATGGACCCTAATAGAAGTGCGACTGTGGAGGCTAGGGAGGGGGGGGCGCGGAGGTGACGGTGGTGTCCCTTTTTCGGGTGGCGGTTCAGGGGGCCCTGGCTCAGGGTCCCTGCCACACCCAGGAACTTGACGCCCCCCCCCCCTTGCGATGGGAGTGAATCACCAAGACGGCCTTTAGGGTCGAATACCCCCCTGCGAAACTCATCATTTCATTATTCTGCCCCCCTGTCCGCTTCGCGCTCCGCTCCCAGTCAGACCTCTCTCTCCCTTTCTCTCCCTCTCTTTCTCTCCCTCTCTCTTTTCCCCGCTCTCTCTTTTTCTATCTCTCTCTCTCTCTCTCTCTTTCTCTCTCTCTCTCTCTCTCTTTCTCTCTCTCTTTCTCTCTCTCTTTCTCTCTCTCTCTCTCTCTCTCTCTCTCTCTCTCTCTCTCTCTCTCTCTGTCTCTCCCGTTCTGTCTATGTGTAAGTTTCTCTCTCTCTCTCTCTCGCTCTTTCTCTCTCTCTCTCTCTCTCTCTCTCTCTCTCTCTCTCTCTCTCTAGTCTCGGCTCGAGAGTGCCCTGCACTCAGACCGCAGCCGCGGCGCGAAGCGCCCCGCCTCGGAGTCAGACTCCCAGGCCTCGCGAGACCGGAGGGGTCCCAGCAGGGCCCTACTGATTCGCGTCACCTCTCCGCACCAGAGTGCCCGCAGCATTGGCCCCCAAGAAGCCGGAGCGCCGTCACTCTTCAAAGCAGCCTCCGAGCTCCCGCCCCACGCGCCCTGCTGCTGAAGGGTCCCTCCTTCAACGCAAGCAGGACTGCATCGCAGCGTTCAGGCAAGCGGGGTCTGACCGCCCCACGGCCGCCTATAACGGGCTAGCCGAACTGAGCGCGGACGAGCTCCAGGCAAAGTACGACATGCACAAGTCCAACACGAAGAAGCTTGGCAGCGCCCTTATCCGCATGTGCGCCGCCAACCAGATCAGCTACACGCTCGACCACTACCAGCGCAGCAAGCCTAAGCGCACTGGCGGTGACACATCGCACCCACCATCGGGCTCCGCACGTCTTCAGGCTGCGGACACCCAATTCATTGCCTTGAACCCTGCCTTTTGGAAGGTCCCTGTTCTTGCCGAACCCACCTCGCCTGACGACGGCAAGACGTACAAGCCCAGCATCAGCCTCCACGACTTCGAGAGTGGCGAACGGCTGCTGCAACACCACCTCGGGCAGGGCAAGCGAGCCACGGGCCAGCTCGCGATTGCTGTCATGGGCCCGAAAAACGACAACTACGTCGGTACCGAGCTCGCCGTCCCCGTCCTGAAGCGCCACCCCAAGGCGCCCAAAGTGGTCCTCACGCACGTCCCCGTGATCGTGTACCAGCTGGGCACCAAGGAGGTCGCCTGCACGGAAAAGGTAGCCGTCGCCACCATCGACCCCGCCGACCACGTCTGCTGGATTCGGGCGACCATGCACGAGACCGAGGCCATTGCCACAGTCCCCTCCATGCACCAGGCCTTCGAGGACCAGTTCTCGGGAGGTGCCCCCGTGAACGGTGTCCACGCGCCAAGGGCCCTTTTCGAGGCGACTCCGCTCCACAGGACAAGGCGCGCCAAAAGCACAAGGAGTCCAAGAAAGACGCTCGCCGCCAGGAGCTCGATGGCCAGCTCCAGGACACCTTCAAGGCCCTCTTCCACGGCAACTTTAAAGCCGTCACCATCCTCGAACCCTGCAAAAGCCTAGGCAGGTTTGGATCGGGCGTCGGAAAGAGGTCCCTGGCTGCCACCTTCGGCGTCAGTCTCAAAGCGGTCGACAAGGTCCTGGCGGGATCAGGGCAACTCGGTGCCACCTACGACCTCAGCAACGTAGGTGCAGACGAGCCCACCGCCGACAAGTATCAGACCGTGTGGTTCCCTGAGGACCAGCCCATCACGATGGCAGACGAGTTCCAGAAGTCGGTGGAGCTCAAGGCCCTGGGAGTCGTCAGGCACGGCAAGTCAGGCCTGCTGGGGATCCGTGTTCCGCGGGGGTCTGACGTCGCCAATGCCGCTGCTGTCAGCATCCGCGGCTGCGAGGCCACCCTCGCCAAGACGCGCTACCGCATCACTGGCATTGCGTCACGCCACGCCACGCTGACCCAGCTCGCCAAGACTCTCACGGGCCCGTCCGTCAAATGGACTGTGAGGTCTACCACACCGCCTGGGACCCAGCCACTGCGGCCCAGTTTGCCCTAGTGCGCGCCCATCGGCCCCCACTCACCTATACGGTGCATGTCGCGGGGTGCTCCATCCCGTGGAGCATCGCCGAGGCCCCGCTGGCTGAGGTGGCGCCGAAGCGGGACAACGTTACCATCGTCACGCCTACCACCATCACAGAGCCTGCGACGCCGCCAGCCGGTGGTGGCGGCTTCAGCCCCGCCACCGGCACACTCCTCACCAAAGCGGCCCAGAGCACCTACCTCCACGACCTCATGACTGCCACGCCCAAAGGCAAGGGCGTCGCACCGCTCCTGACCCCCAAGGAGGAGCCTTTAGCCAAGCGCCACCGCTCCTCAGCGGGAAACGTGACGCCACGCCGCCCGCAAGGCCACCCCGCGCCCCAGGCCGCAGCTCTTCTGCGCCCCCTCACGGCACGGACGGAGCCGCTGAACCGACGGCCGCCCCAGGACCAGGTGGCCACGACCCCTGGCTTGGCACGGCGGCGGCGGAAGGAGGGGGCCACACGCGAAGGCGCCGCTGCCACAGCCGCCGAAGTACCAGGCGACGTCGTTGACGTCGAGATCCTCTCATCAGGCGATGGATACAGCGTGGCCTCCCACGAACTCAACACCTTCGGCGAGCGCTTCGCATCGGCCTCTAAACCGCCCGATGCTGCCACGACCCGCATCCAGCACATGGAACAGCAGCACGAGCTACTAGCCACCACGGTGGATAACATGCAGATGCAGCTTGCGGGCGTTCTCTCCTCCCAGGCCACACTCACGGAGCACGGTTCAGGGCTGGAACGGGGGCTTGCCACCGTCGTCACCCAGCAACAGACGGCAACCGCCGACGCCGCTGCACTGCGCGGCGACATCCAGACCCTCCTCGGGCACCTCACGGGAATCACCATCCACCTGCCACAAGCGGCCACTCTGGAAGCTAAGAAGGAGGAAGCCGCAGCGGCCGCCGAGCCCGCGGCAGCCTGCAGTGCGACCGACCAGCCAGGCCAGGCCACCCCAGGGACGGGGCCCCCAGGGGCCGACAAAGGCAAGGACAAGGGTCGGGCCACCCAGGACCCGTATTGAAGGTGCCTCAGAGAGCCCGCCTCAGCCCTCCGAGGAAGCGCCTTCAGAGGCACCGCTCCCCTCTTCGCGTCGTATCTCTTTCGTGTTACCTCATGTCTGTTTTGGCAGCAGCACGCGCAAGCTCTCTGGTGTAGGGACACCCGTAGTCTTGCAGGGGGCGTGATTGTAGCGATGTACATGAGCATTCAGGGGTGTATGAGGACGTGTGCTGCCACGCAGCTTTCGGCTCATCGCTCGCGCCGCCCGCCAGGCCTCGCCAACATGCGGCGCCTCGCCTGCGGCCTGGCCCTCCCCTCGCTGGCTGGAGCACACCCGTCTTCAGGCGGTGCGCC